CTATTTGGCCGCTAGAAAACTATTTCAAAAAAATGTAAAAATTATATAGTTGCATAGAGTTTGAATGTTTGATTGCAATCGGGTTTTAATTGGAGAAAGTTGGATCAAAAAATATACCCCAACTAAGAAAGAATTAGTTAAAATCACTTAGAGGTGCGTAAAACACTAAAACCTCCCAAGATCGCACAAACCCACCGAATCGCCGAAGGAAGAGATGGGAAGAAGACATCTAATATGACCTCTTTTTCTCCTTCCCAATATAAAAGGAGCCTTGGCCCTTCCTCAATCCTGCACCATTTTTTCTTATTCTTTTTCCTATAGTTTCATTAGAGTATAGAGGGTAGGCCGCAAGCGATCACCGTCGCCGGAGTTAGCCGTGGTTTTACCCGAAGTTTTGCCGGAATGTTGAAATGGAAGAAAAACTATGTGCAATTAAGTCCACTTCTAGGTAGCGTGTGACCCTCTAAACTTTGTTATTTAAATCTGCATTCACGAAAGTTGTAGTCATATGTCTTATAAATTCGTAGCTTGAAACGATTTGCGATTTCGTTGAGTAACAAAGGAGATGCGGCCTAAATACCAGTACTAGTATAGCTGTGATGAGAATAATAAATTTCACGAATCAACTTAAACGATTTAATTCTTTTACCATAGAAATGAAAAATAAACGATTGGTAGACTCACTACTCATTATTTGGAAAACCTTGACTAGTGCGCATTAGTGATTCAATTAGGTGGTGTCCTAATGATAACTCGGGTTTGGGTTAGTACTTTTTATTCAATTTTAGGCATTTTTAAATATTTTTAGAGCTTAATTTTTAGTAGTTTAGCTTAGTTTTATTTTAATTCTTATTTTTACAATCTTTTAATTTTCTTTCAAAAATAGTAGTTTTTTAATCATTTTTTACATTTTATTATTTTCTTCATTTTATTATTTTTCCTAACCCAAGTTATCAGATATCTTATTTTTTTTGGAGAAAATTGAAGCAAAAGACCAAAGTACAGTTCAAGTTTAAAAGAAGAGATCAAAATTGGGTTGAAGCCCAAAACCATCAACAAAAGTAGCCCATCTCTCCTCCCTCAATCTAAGTTAACGGAAAGAGGAAAAAAATATGCGCTCCATCTCCTTCTTCGAAGAGTAACGCCGACGACCAAGCGCTCCAACGTCTCTCCACGAATCTCGCTCAAGCGCTCCAACGGGAAGAAATTAAAAGCCCCTTGCTCCTACTATCCTATAAATTGAAGGCAAATTGCACAATTCAAAGGGGGAAACAGACGAGAATAAAGACAAGCCGCTGCTTTGGCGGAATCCGGCGGACATCTCTGGCGCGGCGGCAGGCGGCCGGCAGACGCGAACCGGCGGCGGCATCAGTTCCGGCGAGCGGTCGGCAGTAGCTCCGGGCAGAGGTTAGGCTGTTCCATCACAGCTCCAATTTCTTCAATTTCTTCATCTTCTTCCTCCAATTGGTAACCCTATATTTGTCAATTTCTTTTTTCTTCTCCAATTTCTTTGTAAAAGTTTGTTTTTGATTCAATTTACATTCTTTTCCCTTGTTTTAATTTTGAAAATTCTAAAAAAATGGTTGGTGTTCTTCTTTTTGGGTTTTTTTAATGTTTATATTAAATCCCTTATGAATGAGAATTGATTTAAACTAGTTTTTCTTCAATTATTGAGCAAGTTGTTGTTGAATTGGTTGAATTGTATAATTTGATTTCATAAGTAGGTTGGTATGTGGGATTCGGTTTTTGTTGAAGCTATTTTAGCTCCATAAGGTAGTTAAATGAACTCCGAATTCATACGTGAATCTTTTTTGTGCATTGTGTTCGTTGATTTTAAGAATTTTGGACTTCTTAGCCCCATAAGTTGATTCATTTTTCTTAGAATTCGTTATTGAGTGATTGTGTATTTTCTCGTATGTTTGTTATTTTCGTTAATTTGAGGTTGTTTAAGCTCAAAAACAATTCTCAATTTTATGAAAATATGTTGTGTTCATCTATGTGAATAGTAAAAACGTCATTGGTTTGAGAAATTCATGGAAATCTGTGAAATGTGCTCATCATTAGGAGAAAAAGTTTATTAAAATGCATAAGGTATTGGCGGTTTGTGAATAGATTATGCATGAGAGTTAGAATGAAAAAAAATTCGCTCTTTTATAAACTTTTTCTATAGTGGAAGTATGTTTTCATGCTTGATTGGTGAGTTGGGGTTCTAAGGTATATTTCAAAATGGGCCTTTGAATTACATGACTCCGGGCCGTGTGGAGAGTTGACAATCCACCATATCGTGGTTAAGGAAATGAATCGACTCGGCCTTTGATTGATTTTTCCTATTCTTAAGTGCGTAAGTTACGTAATATATTGTCTACGTGTCTATTATACGTGTAATGTTCGATTGTGTTTGTTCTCTTTTTTTATTTTGTTTCGGGTTCTTGGTGGTGTTCTTGGGTTACTTTTGTTGGAGTAGATGATTATCTTTAGAGCTTGTTTTCTTCATTTTATCAAAAAAAAATCAAAAAAATAAGAAAAATAAAAAATCAAAAAAATATTTACTTTTTATTCAACCCCCCTTTGTGTTGTGTATAAGTTATACTCCGTATTATAAGTTCTTTGTTTATATAAGTTATATTTATGAGTTTTATAAGTGTTATCATATGTGTAGTAGTTAGTTTGTTTTGTTTAGTGACAATGTGTGTGCATGCTTAAATGATTCAAAAGTACAGTCTTTTTCTGTGGGATCGATCCTTACTTGCCCTAGCTATAGTTTTTATTTGATTATATATTGGGGGTTAGCTAAGGATATTTTATAAATTTTTAATTTGTTTTGGACCTCACGACAAGTCCCCAACACCTAAAGTATACACTAAAGTTATACACTAACATTTTTATAATTAACGCTAATATAATATTTGTTAGAATTCGATGGAAATTTTTCATTCTCTCTTTGCTTAATTCCCCATGCATGCACCATCCACATCCGTCCACCCCATACCACATTTCCTCCCACCCATCCCACCCCCTACTGCCCACCACCCTTACTTCGGGCCACATACACCTACCACCCTTTTCCACCAACCCCCATTCCGCACCTTCTACCCTTCTTGCGTCCTCACCCACTCCACCCCATCCACTTACCTTAGGTTATTTTTTGTTTTCAATTGATTAGCTCAACATTATTATTTTTATAGATACGAATAATTTTGTACTCAATTCGTCTTTATAACTTCTTTGTTTGACTAGGCAGGAGTTTTAATGTAATGTTAAATAGCTTTGGTTTTCAATTTTAAATTTTAAATTTTAAATTTAAAATTTGAATTTGAATTTTAAATTTTTAGTTTTAAAGTGCACAATTTAAATTTGAAAGTTTATATTTTAAATCCTTTTGAACCGAAGTGTAAAAGCACGTTCTATTGCTATTACTCGAAAATGATACGATTCACTTGATTTCATTTTGACTCGCAGGATTCAAAATGTTGAATTCAAATTCTTTTCTTATGTTATACTCCTTTCATGCCAGAAAACCTCTTTCTCCTTTCTTTTTTATCCATCCCAAAAACACTTCTTATTTCTATCAAAAAAGTCACTTTACCTCTTATTTTTTCTTACCCTACCTATCACATCATATCTTTTTACTAATAATCTACTCATCAAATCATACTTTTACCCATCACATCAAAGGACATTTTTGAAAATTCAATGCCAAAATACATTTCCCTTAAATCTCTTTAAAAAACAAAACATTCCATGTTTTATGCGACGGAGGGAGTAGAATTTAAAATCTTGAATTAGCATGTTTAGAATTCAAGTTTTTAAATATTCATTAAAAAAAACTTTTTAAAAAAAAAATATTTTTTCTTCTTGACAAACAATGGAAGATACGATTGGGAAATAATTTTACTAGCAAATCTTTTTCATTTAGAATACATTTTCAGGGAAAATATCTTTTCCCAACCAACAAAACCTTAATATATGGATCTTAAGATAAGGGGAAGAAATGAGGAACAACTTAAAAAAATATTTTCTCCCTTCCTTAAAACAGTTTCTTTTTCATTTTTCTTAAAACATTTCTATTTTTGTAAAGACTAAAATTCACCATTGGTCATTCAACTTTATCAGTTGTGCACGATTGGTCTTTCAAGTTTCAAAAGTCCATAAGTCGTCCTTCAACTTTATGAGTTCTGCATCATTGATCCTTCAAGTTTCAAAAATCCATAATTAGTCCTTCAGGTACACGTCAGCCCTCCATATGAAATCCTTTTTGATAGTAAATATTAAAAGTTAAACGAAATACTAGTTTCATATAATACAAGTAAATTCCACTAGGTACGACTACTCCGTATTATATGGAGCTAGTATTCCATTTAGCTTTTAACATTTACTGTCAAAAGGACCTCATCTAGAGGACTGACATGTACTTGAAGGACTATTTATGCATTTTTAAAACTTAAAGGACTAATCGTGCATAACGCATAGAGTTGAAAGACTATTTATAGACTTTTAAAACTTGAAGGACCAATCGTGGACAATTGATAAAGTTGAATAACCAATGATGAAGTTTAGTCTTTTGTAAAAGAAGACTAATATATCTAAATTAATTTATTGAAATATATATCATTCAATTTGTATTGATATAATAAATCATTTAAATGATTTGTCTCTTCTTTTTTCTTTCTTGGAGGATAAAAGATACTCCGTATAATTTTAGGATAGAAAGAAAGTAGATAAAATTAGAGTTTGTACCCGATATTTGGGAGAAATCTAACTGGGGTCTTGTCTTTCCACCACCCCTTTCAAACTGCGCCCACAGGTAACGACACCCTTATCAAGAAAAGGGTGGGTGTGTGGTTTGTGACTTTGTGTAGAACAATCATAGACTTGGAATTCTCACTCTTGCTGAAGAAGGACAATACAATGGCTTCAGCAGTTTTGTATGGGATTGCTCAGGAAATCTTGAAGAGTCGGCTTGGGGCTTCAAATCCGACCTGGAAAAGCTGGAGCACGATGTTATTTGCATTGTGGGGATTGGGGGCATGGGGAAGACCGCTCTGGCTCAACTCATCTACAACGACCCATTGGTTGAGTAAAATTTCGGGTTGAGATTGTGGGTGTGTGTGTCTGATGTGTTTGATATCAAGGAAATTACCGAGAAGATTCTCAGATCTGCAACCAATTCAGAAACCCCAAAGTTAGAGATGGACCAGCTACAGAGCAGGTTGAGGGCAGAGATGGGTGATAAGAAGTACTTGCTGGTTTTGGACGATGTGTGGAATGAGAATCGCGAGAAATGGGTAAAGATCGATGAGGGCTCTTTTGAAAACTGGCAGGAGTGGGAGTAAGATCTTGATAACTACTCGGCAGAGTACGACGGCTAGAATAATGTGCACGGTTCCTCCTCATGACTTGCGAGGCCTATCAAAAGAGAAGTCGTGGGAGTTGTTTGAAAGGGTGGCATTTGTGCCCGGACAGATTACACACCTCGCTGATATGGGAAAGGATATTGTTGAGAAGTGCGCCAACGTTCCATTGACCATAAGAGTTTTGGGAAGCATTCTTTATGGTAAAGATGAAAGCAAGTGGTTGTCAATTAAAAACAAAAGTCTTGGAAAAATGTCCGAGAACGGGGACATTATGAGCATTCTCAAGCTTAGCTACTATCATCTCGAATCTCCTTTGAAGAATTGCTTTGCTTATTGCGCTCTGTTCCCCAAAGACTCCGTCTTCAACAAGGATATGTTAAAGGGTCTTTGGATGGCCGAGGGATTCATTATTGCTCAGCCAGATGAAAGCCAGAGCCTTGAAGAGCTCGGCGAGGAGTATTTTCTCACTCTGTTGCAAAGGGGATTCTTCCAAGATGCCAAAATGGACGAATGGGGACTCTGCATCGAGAGTTGCAAGATGCACGACTTGATGCACGATCTTGCTCAGGAAGTGGCCGGGGCCAAGTGTAAGGTCTTGAAAGCCGATGAGAGTTGCCACCAGAACAAAATTCATCACTTGTCTTTTGCTTACCAGTTGAACTTTCAAAGGAATATCCCTGCAGCAGTGCTAGGTTTGGAGCATCTGAGGACGTTGCTATTGCCACAACAACTAAGCGACGGGTCGTCGACTTTTAGAAAACCGATGCTCAAAGAAATCACATCAAGCTTAACTAAGCTGAGGGTGTTGGATTTGCATGGCCTTGGATTGATCAATCTACCTAGTTCAATAGGCAAGTTGATCCACTTAAGGTACCTCGATCTCTCCTCGAATCCTATTCGTGTCCTCCCCGATTCAATCACAGAACTCCACAGCTTGCAAATGCTAAATCTGAACCGTTGTAAGAGGCTTACATCATTACCTACAAATATCAAAAGACTTGTCAATTTAAGAAGTCTTGATATTGGTGAATGTTATCCCGTGTTTCGTCACATGCCTCTAGGAATAGGCGAATTGACTTCTCTCCGTAACTTGCCACTTTTCATAGTGACTAAGCGTGTCGGTAGTGCTAGACGAAGTGATCTAAAGAAGCTCAATAGCTTGAGAGGAAAGTTGCACATAGTTTTTGATGGCGACTCGGAGACTACGATGCTAGAAGCAAGAGAGGGGGACTTGACCTGCAAACATGGTGTGAATGAGTTGGAGATAACTTTTACCATGGTTTTCTCTGATTTTAATGATCATGGTGAGGTGGTTGACTCTGATTCTAATGACCATGATGATGTGGTGCTGGAAGGCCTAAAGCCACATCCCAATTTAAGGAAGCTAAAGATATCACATTACAAGGGCGGGAAGCTCCCGAATTGGGCAATGAAGGAGAGCCTGGTTCTCACTCTTTCAAAACTAGTTGAAATTGAACTTTACGAATGGAACAACTGCCAAATCCCCGTGTTTAGCCAACTGCCTCTTTTGAAGCGCCTTTCACTTACACGATTGCTGTCTGTGGAGACGATGATAGACGGAGACCATTCATCATCATCATCATCAACATTGTTCTTCCCATCTCTTGAAACACTCAAGCTGCATGTGATGCATTGTTTGAAAGGATGGTGGAAGGGAGCTGGCGGGTTATCGTTTCCCAAGTTATCAAAATTAGATTTACATTGGTGTAAGAACCTAACATCGCTGCCATCGTGTCCTAGTGTGGAGGAAGTGCATCTGTCACACACACTTGACAATTTCTCAATACTCAACATTGTAACAGCTTCGTCGCGGTTGACTTCACTGACGGTCAACATCGCGGAAGATCTTTTACGCATCCCGACACAGTGTCTGCTTCAGCTCTCTCGGCTCTGTATAAAGGATTCCTCACTAGTTTCCACTGACAAATTCGGAGACTTGTTTGCAACTTTATCTTCTTCTCCCCAATCTTTGTCATTCCACTCTTGCGACAACTTGAGATCCCTCCCTAAAGGCTTGGAACATCTTGCTGCATTGGAGAGGTTTGCAGTTCTTGCCTGTGACCAGGTTGATCTAGAATGCAAAGACAAAGACGAACGTTGCACAATTCCTAGTGACATGCCATGGAAGGCCTTCAAAACCAGTCTTCGTTCCCTAAAACTATTTGGTCTTTCGCAGCTAGCGCGTCTGCCTGGAGCGCTTCGACACCTGACGAATCTTCGTTCTCTCGAGATATCGTTCACTGATTTGAGGGAATTGCCCGAATGGATACGTTGTTTCTCCTACCTTGAAACTCTGGAATTGGTTTGCTGCGATAAATTGACTTGTCTGCCTGAAAGCATCCGTGACCTCAATATCGCCCTGTGCTCAAAAAAATTGATCAAAAGATGCCGAGGCCCAAACGGCAGCGACTGGCCTAAGATTCAGCATATCCCTCGTGTTATTCTTGAGGATTATGACTCAGTGGTGTAATACATTTGTCAAAGCACAATTCTTTCCACCCCCTTTTTAAAGTTTGTAATACTTTGTGTGTTCTTCCAAAGAACACACACTTTGTGTTATCCTTTCACATTTTGCTCTTTTGGTACTGAATTAAACTGAAGTACTGAGTCTACAACTGTTTCTTTGTTTCAATGCCAAATCACTTTGAGAATACAAAAATGCCCTTTTATTAGTGTTATTATATCTATAAATAAATAAATAAAATTGGATGTGCTACGTGTCTGTTCATTTGGTTTGGAATAGTTAACTTCAAACCTTTTCACACTAAAATATTACTCTCTCCGTCCCCAATTTGATTACAAATTGAGGTTAACGAGATCACACTTTTTGAAATCATTTTATTTACAAATCGACATATCGGTAAAAAATAAAAATTACATATTAAAAAACTACGTCAAAAGTTCCACAAAACAAGAGGTGACAAAAATATTTTATTTTATCAAATACTTAATGAAATCGTGTAAACAAACAAAAATTATCGAGAGAAGAAAAAAAATTGTAAACTAATTGGGGACGGAGGGAGTATTATCTATTCAATAGGAGTCCATATTTTTTTGGGAAAAATTTATATAAATACTCCTTGAAATTCAGAATTTTACAATAATACTTCCAAAATCAAATAGAAATTAAATTTTATGTTTTCATGGTTACTTCCATTCTGCCTAATCAATCTTTCTTACTTTTACGTGTCATTAAATGAGCTTAGTTGGCTAATTTGATTTGTATTTTATATTTTAAGGAGTAATATTAATACATGTGTTCAAAAAAAACACGGAGTACGCTACAGAAAAAAAATTTATCCATCTTCTTTCCCAAGGTTCAACGGTGAATCTTTACAACTGACTTTTCTTCTTTGTTCATATCACACATAGTCTCTCTCATCTTTGTTCACCTTTCCTCATCTTTTCTTTCAAAATTGTAACCCTAATTCAGATTTCAATTATTAGTTCTAAGGAACGATGTCAATTGTTTATGGTGTTGTATTTAATTTTATGTCATTATATTTTATTCCAAATCGTATTTCTAATTTTTTTGTGTCTCACTCTCTTTACTTTTTAAAATCAATATCAATCATATAACCTTTTTCATTAATCCATGCAATAAAAATAAGAAGATAAATCAAAAATTTTAATTAACCTAAGTTGAAAGAAAAAAATGGTTTTATGCAATAAAGGTAGTTTTTAATTTACATCTGTCATATACAGAATTAAAAAGAAATAATATTAATTTTACACAATTATTTCTTCACGTATCAAATTGATATATGAACATTTTTCTGCAAATGCTTAAAACATGCATATTATAAAAATAATTAGTGTATGCACATTTTAGGCAAAATTCACAACAATACTCCCAGAGATTACAGATTTTACATAAATACACCCAAATTCATCTATTTACACCATTACTCTTACATTTTTCTCTTATTTACGTCGTTACCCCTCAATTTGGTAGTGATCATCAATATTATTTTGATGTGTCTTACTTTTAGCGCTAAGTGACAAGTTAAAATGCCGACGTACAATTTTTTTTCACTCTAAAATACCACTTACATAAGATTATTCTCTCGCATTGTCTTTCTCACGTCTCAGTAAGTCGAGTCATTGCCCTTATCTCCCATCACTTTCTAAAAATTCTTCAGATTTCAAACTTCCTAAATCTTCTCCATGTCTGATATCAAGCCTGTTCATATTAATTTAATACGAATTCAGTCAAAAAGATGAAGAACCTTGTTTAAGAAGACACACTCGAATAACACTGATGATGACTATGCAATCATGGAGTAATGACGTAAATAATAGGCAAATGTGGGAGTAACTGTGTAAATAAATGCATTTGTGAGTATTTTGTAAAACATATAATTTCTAGAAGTACTCTTGTGAACTTTTCCGCATTTTAAAGTTATGTAATGATTAATGAAAGAAAATAGAGTGCATAATTATTTTGGTCAAACCTTAAAACATTCACTAGAACACATTTCAAAGAAATATAGGTATCAAAAATATCAAAATCACAAAGGAAATTATAAATTAATAATTTAAGATTTTGATAATTTACGTGACTCAATACTAGTAACTAAAATTTAAATTCATGACATTTTTTTAAATAAATTATGACATCAAATCAATTTTTTATTTTACTGAGATAATAATAGTAATAATATTTAAAAATAATTTTAAAAAAATACGAAGAGAGTTTTACAAAGCAAATTGTGAAATGAGTACTATTTTTAAAAATAATAGACGAAAATGTAATAAGAAAAGTAGATTTAGGTGGATCTTGTTAATAGTAAACATAAATCTTACTCCCTTCGCCCATATATTATCTTCTTGTTCACTATTCACAGGGTCAAATTTTATTCATTTTGTTGGCATATTTCTATTGCTCATTTGATAAAATAATATAGTCATATCACATCTAGTTTTGTAAATCTTTTGATGTAGTTTTTAAATACGTAATTTTTTTTTATTTTACACCAATTTTCATATAAAATGATTTGAAAATAGCTTCAGTCAAACATTATAACGTGCAAAGGGAAGATAATTGTTGGACGGAAGGAGTATTTGGGAACGAATGAAGTACTATTTTTATGGTAATATTATAATGATTGAACTCAATTTGTTATAAATATAAAAATTACTTTTGTAAAAATTATTATTTCTGAAACTAAAAAAGAATCATATTAACAAAAAATCCTAGATCAATTCTCGGTTGGTTTTGAAAATGACTTCAGATAAAAATTGTTATCTCGAAGTAGGGATCTTATTTCAGAATTGGTGTATTTTAAAATTTAAAATTGTTTTTCCACATTTAATTAACTTTTATTTCAAAAATTGATTGATTTGGGAAACTACATAGTTAGGGAGGACCATATTAGAAAAGTAGTACTCCGTATATGTTCTAACGCCAATTTGGTGCCGTTTTCAGAGTTGTTAGACGAAGGACTAAACAAAGCATTATTCTCAATTAAAGGGTATCAACTCGGTAATTAATTCATCTTGGAGACAAACTTCAAAAAACACAGTTAATAAAGACCATTTTGATATTTACTCTAGTTTTAATTTAAGTATAAGTAAAAAAAATCTATCTATATTCATTATAAAAAATCAAAACTGCACAAACAATCTGGAACAAGAGAAAGTATGAAGTTATAAGTATTCAGTCATAAAGTGAATCCCGTGTTTACAGGGAAGCAACATTGTTATTTTACACATTCACACATGTTTTCATCCTCATTGTCGTCTAGGATCGGGTTTAGATTATTCATTTTTTTTCTGATTACCTGTGTATAACAAACACAACCACGCTAAGGCTGAGTTCCGTTTGTATAATATGATCTCATGTAATTTTTTGAAGTTCTGATCTGATTGAATTTGATCTGATTAATTCAATTTAAATTAAAATAATAATAATAGCAATAATAATAGAAACAATAATAATACTAATAGTAATAATAATAGAAATGATAATAATAATATTAATAGTAATAATAATAATAATAATAATAATAATATTAATAATTATAATAACAATAGTAATAATATTTATAATCACAATAATGATAGTAATAGCCATAGTAATAGTTATAATTGTAATAGTAATAATAATAATAATGGCAATAATAATAGTAGTAATAATAGAAATAATAATAGTTATAGTAATAATGATATTAATAGTAATAGTAATAATACAAATAATAATAACAATAATAATAATAATAGTAATAATAACAATAACAATAATTTCAATAATAATAATAATAGTAATAATAATAGCAATAATAATAGTAACAATAATAATAGTAATAATAATATTAGTAATAATAATAATATTAATATTATATGGGTGGGGTTCCAGTGCCACTGGAATCGAGTGCCACTAGCGGTGCCACTGGCATTTTGGGGTACCTCCGGTGCTCCGTTCGCAAAATTGACAATTTCTACTCCCCTAACCCACCCCCTAAACCCCCCACCCTACCCCCGCCCCTGCACCCCCACCCCAACCCCGCCGTAAGCCCCCCCACAAAATGTGTGGCTATTATGCGTTGCATAATAGCCACACATTTTGTGGGGGGCTTACGGCGGGGTTGGGGTGGGAGTGCAGGGGCGGGGGTAGGGTGGGGGGTTTAGGGGGTGTGTTAGGGGGGGTAGGAACCGTCAATTTTGCGAACGGAGCACCGGAGGTGCCCAAAAATGCCAGTGGCACCGGAGTGGCACCGGATTCCAGTGGCACTGGAACCGGGCCGATATTATATTAATATTATTATTAATAGTAATAATAATAATAGGAATAAGTAATAAACAGAAAAAATAAGTTGAACGGAACGCTACCTAAGCGGTGATGATAGATTAGAATATCTAACATTTTTAATACACGCATAGATGAATTCACAATTCACAAGAATCACATGATATCATGCAAGTAAGATACACTACGTCATATCTTTGTTTAATTCGTGCTTCGCACGAGTTATAATGCTATATACTCCCTCCGTCCCTCTAAGATCTTTTCGTTTTGACTTTTTGTTGTTTTAAGGAGAGTTGAAAAAAAGGTGAAAGTTTACCATAATACCCTTAATGAAAATGGGTGGAGTATATTAAATGAGGTAGGTGAGGTGTAATAAATAAAGTAAGTGAGGGTAATTGTAATATTTTAATTGTTAAAAAAGATAATGAGAAGATCTATGGTGGAAAAATAAAAAGAGCTAATGAGAAGATCTATGGAGGGCGGAGGGAGTATAAAATTTGAGAGTTGAGCTTCTAGAATTGTGACATGTAGCGCGCTTATTGGGAACTTTGTTGACATGTCAGCATGCCATGTCAGCAATTAATATTTAAATGATTAGTTAACAAAAGAACTTTTTATGTGGAAATTAAATTTTGTATTCTTACTCACAAATTTCTTAGCATAATCGTGTTTAAAAAATTTATATATTAATTTACAAATATCAAATTTTTATAAAATATATTTATGTATAAATATAAATATTATAGATCAAAGTGCAATTTAAAAGATTGTAAAAAGTCAAATAGTAAGAATATTTCAGAAGAGAGACTAAAAAATAAACTAAAGCAAACATGTCCCTAATCAAATCAAAATCAAATAAGACTAAGGGTCTGTTTGGGAACTTCTGAATCGGTAAGTGCTGAACCAGTAAGAGGTTTGAACCATTAAGTGCTGAACCAGTAAGAGGTCTGAACCATTAAGAGCTAGTATATTGCTTAACTATTCAGAGGCAAATGTCTGATCAATTCAGATAAGAGATCTTAACCATTCAGACTCTGTATAATACTTAACCATTCAGATGCAAATCTCTTAACCATTCAGACATCTGAACCATTAAGAGACTGAAACAAACAGCTCGTAAAATCCCCTAGAGCATTCTCGTACTGGGGTAAGGCCGTAAGGGGATATATTTTCGGGAGAAAAGGGAAACCTGTTGCAATTGTGGAGTCGCTTCCTCAATTTGGACGAGAGAAGAGAGAGAGAGAGAGAGAGAGAGAGTAAACCCACGCCGGCAGGGAGAAAGGTTAAGTTTCGATCCGGAGAAGGCGTCAATTTCCGGCTCTAGGTGAGTGATTATAATCTCATTCCATGTTTTTTTTTTCGTGTTTAATTTGTTTGGATTGGATGGGGAAGGGCGAAGGAAACCGCCGGATTCGTCGGACAGCAGGAGGAATCCGGTCAGGGGGTGGGGCGAATTGTTGACGGATGATTTCATTATAATTGTTATGATTTTTTGTTTTTAATGAAACTATTGTGTCTGATTTTGGGACATCGATTGATTAGGGCATAACCTTCGGATCTAAGCCATGGCTGTATCGACAGAGTTCTCACGTTTGGAAATTTGCCATTCACCTCCAAAGATATTGGTGGACACCAAGGACTCGGAAGAAGAAGAAGAAGAAGAAGAAGAAGAAGAAGAAGAAGAAGAAGAAGAATCACCCCATCTGGACAACACAATGGAGGACGAAGTGGGAATCGTTACTGACCTAACTGATGACCCTCCAATTGAGACTAGAATGGAGTTGAAAGCAAACGTCCCATATGAGGATACATACGATTCAGATGGGGAGCCTGATCTGATTGTAACTGGTCCCTTTGCTGAAGAGATGGACGCTTTTAGAGAATACAGGGCTGAGTATCTTGCCATTGGGGTAATGTTGTTTAAAATCTCTACTGCTCTTGCTTTGCTTGAATTTTTCCGTCCCCGATGCTTGCCTCAAAATGTTTTCTTAATTGTTTGTTCCTCAGGGCTACGATGTCACTAACTATTTTAGACCGTCTCCAAGTTTCCCTTATATGTTATGTGATCTGCTGTATCCTGTGAAACTTGCATCTGGAGACTTGTACTATGATCATTGCATCCTAGCTGTCCAAAGAATGATTCTTTATCTTAATCAAAAGGTTTGGTATCATCAAAAACCTATGCCCTTGCAATTNGGGGTAATGTTGTTTAAAATCTCTACTGCTCTTGCTTTGCTTGAATTTTTCCGTCCCCGATGCTTGCCTCAAAATGTTTTCTTAATTGTTTGTTCCTCAGGGCTACGATGTCACTAACTATTTTAGACCGTCTCCAAGTTTCCCTTATATGTTATGTGATCTGCTGTATCCTGTGAAACTTGCATCTGGAGACTTGTACTATGATCATTGCATCCTAGCTGTCCAAAGAATGATTCTTTATCTCAATCAAAAGGTTTGGTATCATCAAAAACCTATGCCCTTGCAATTAATATGTACTGTTATAAAAATATGAGTTATATGCTTAAATAATCCCCGTAGTCTTCAATAACTGGGTAAATAATCGTCGAACCTTCAAAATTTTTGAAATAGTCATTGTGGTCAAAGAATCGTTGCATAATTACTCTTTCATTTAAAGAAAATGTGAAGCATGTGTGTATTATGTGAAGATCTGAAGCATGTAATAATACAAAATTGATCTAGAGTCTTAATTGTCATGTGTTAGCTTGAACCGCAGTACAATGTCTTCCATCTTTTGGTTCAACTCTCACAAAGTTTTCTTCCTGTCTCCCATATCTTGGTCTTTTAACCACAAAGACAAGTGTAATTTTGTCAGGCTAGCTTCTTTATTTTGTTACATGCTTCGCATTTTTGCATAGTATGCATGTCGTTTGTGTGCTTCATGTTTTCCCTAAAAGAAGGACTAATTATGTAGCGGTTTTTATAAACCGTAGGGACTATTTCACAGCTTCTGAAAGTACATGGACTATTTACTTATGGAAGACCATAGGGATTATTTATGCCGATAACTCTACAAATATTTGGCTGATTTTTGTTGTCTAATAATGTTAACGCTGCGTGCAGAGAGGGAGAAATCTTGAATTTGGGGAACTTGTTAAGGCAAACAGGGAAGCAACTTCTTGCTTTACATTTTATGCGACCTTTACTGCTACAGAATATGGAGAGAAACGAACATATCAAGCCCAGGTCCATACCTGTATAAAAGGTGCTGCAGTTAAGTTTTGGGAGTTCAAGGAAGCTGCATCAAAGGAATGAGATGGTTTGATTTGTTTTCTTGATGGTTATTCCCCTATTCTTGCAGAATTGTGGAGTTGGGGAAGATTGAGGCATGCTGTTTTTAAGGTTGCAAACTACTCTAAGTTCAAATGATTGAGTTGAGGAAGATTGAAGCATGCTGTTTTTAAGGTTGCAAACTACTCTAAGTTAAAATGATTGTGCGACGCGAAACTTATTTATGATGACTTGGTTATATGCAATTCTGAGTATAAGAAATTAGTATATGTTTTAACGCCAATTTGATGTTGTTTTTAGAGTTGTTAGATGGAGGACTAAACAAAGCACTATTCTCAATTAACGGGTATCAACTCGGTTATTAATTCATCTTTATGATGAAATAAAAAAACATCAATATTTTAAACTATATTCAAAAATTGTGGATAAAATAGTTACATAGAATGTTTTATTAATCTAAATTTATGTAAGACATCTCAAGTTTTGCTTTATTACTCAACTTTTTCTCATTTTTATTGATTTCAAAATTTAATTTTGATAGTGCAAAATTAACAAGGTAAGTTTGACCGGGTACAATCAACAAGCCAAATACACCGGAAAGTAAGAACTCAAAAGATGATTTAGACCAAGAAAGAATTCCTGAGCCTGAAATTATATTTTTCACTCTTTTTAAGAGTGTACAAGAATGTATATAAATAAGCGAATGTCTTTCCTCCACCTCTTACAATCTATTTATATTAGGTGGAGGAAGTCAATTAAGGTAAAAAGCCCTTCCTTGGGTGTAATCTTAGCTTCAATCAATACCTACATAACCCCTAGACCCGCCACTCGCTGGCTTAACCGTCAACGAGCGCCAATCTCGCCCCTATTTATGCTGTCTAGCGGTTTAGCGCGATCCTCGCTCCGTCATTAAGTCTCTCAGATGGCGGGTAACACAGCGGGATGGCTCCACATGCGCCCTCACCTAGCATCGCGTTCGTTTGTTTAACTCGTAGAATCTAACCGTGCAAATCTAATGAGTTCATCCCTTAAGCCGACTCCAGTAATGGCCTTGTGAGAAAATGACTATGTCGTAAACATGACCGGTCACTTTCCAGAGAGGGATGACTACTCGTTTCTATAACGTCCTTTGCCACCTGGAATGCCACTTAATATATTGATCGGTCACGTTTGACCTGTCACTTCGCGCCCGTCCGGGCCGGGTATTAATTATACCCATCAAATTTTGTTTTTCATTTTTCTAAATTTTATTTTAAAAAAATTAAATGTCAAAATAGTTTATAGAAAAAGATTAAAATATGAGTAAAACATAAAAAATGTACAAAAATAAAAGTTCTATATCTTTATTTCAAATAAGAGTTCCAATGAAAATAAAATGTCAATCATGAGAAAAAAATAGGGTTGATTACATTATAAGAGCGAGCGAGATCAAGGATTAGAATGAGAATAATATAAAAGTACACTAAAATAAAAAAAATTAATTTTTTTAGGTAATAAAAAATCATAATAATAATAATAATAATAATAATTATTATTATTATTATTATTATTATTATTATTATTATTTTATCATTCATACATCCATATGAGAATGGTAGAGTTTGACCATCCAAAAACCCTACAGTGCTCTATTCTCAAAATTAATAGTTCATCAAAAACCCTAATCCCAGATCTCGCCCGCTCACGACTCCCCTACCCCTGCAATTGCACCCCCTAAGTTTTATTGACTTTCTCCATAAGATTAATCACAGAGGAAAGATGTACAAGGGAGAGAATCCCAAATTAGATATGTTAAATATATTGTATATATTTAATATATTGTATTATTCCCTTACCTTATTTGTATAGGTTCCCTTACTTGTGTCTCTCCTACCTTGTTTAGAATTGAGACTCCCCCTATATATATTCATGTAATCACAACTCATTCAATCAATGAAAATAATAATTCTTCATGGTATCAGAGCCTAATTAAAAAACCCTAACCCTACCTCTCGGCTCTCCCTCTCTCCCACGGCAGACTCAGCGCCGCCCCGCCGTCCCTCCTTCGACGTCGGCAGTCCCAGCGGCGGCACTCCCTCCCCCTCTCCCTTTGGATCTCTCTCCTCTCTTCAATGGCCGAAAGCGAGGTTACCTCCAACTCCACTCCGGCGAAAACCCCTCATTTTGCCTTCACGAGGGTCTCTAATGTCAAACTCCACATTCCGGTTCTTCTCAGTCTCTCTCAACCGAACTACAAAAAGTGGAGTCGCCTTTTCCTCCTCTTGGTTCGCCGATTCAATCTCCAAGGCTACATCAATGGCTCCATCGTCCCTCCCTCCGAAGACGACGATGAGTGGCTCCAACTTGACGCTCTCCTCCAGGGATGGATCTTATCCACCATCTCCGACGAAGTCTCGGATCTGGTTATCTCATCTGTCTCCACCGCTTCTGCTCTTTAGAAAGTTATCCATGATCTTTTTCACGACAACAAGAATGATCGTGCCATGCAACTCGAGCACGAGTTCCGTACCACTGTCAAAGGCAACACTTCTATGGCGGCCTACTGTCAACATCTGCAAAATCTTGCAGACTGGCTAGACGATGTGGATGCCCCGGTGTCCTAACATCAATTGGTTCTTCAGATGCTCCGTGGTCTCCCCAATGATTTGCAAGCCCAGACGTCTTTTCTTCAATTTCAGGATCCGCTGCCAACTTTTCTCCAAGCCCGCTCCGCTCTCATGCTTTTGGACCGACAACGCAACCCCATGGCCAACTTGAGTAGCATGGCCCTCCTTGCCGGCAGGCCCGGCGTCAACGGCGGTGGTCGGCAGCCGTCCAGCAGCGGCAGCGGGGGACCCCAGCACAGCAGCAACGACATCGGTGGTTTCCATGGCGGCAGGCTTCAGCACGGCGGCAGCTACGGTGAGGGCAGTTCCTCCGGACAGCGCAACGGCTATGGACGCGGAGGCGGGCGAGGCAACGGCGCTCGGGGTAGAGGTCGTGGACGACAAAGCAGCTCGAGGCAACGGACCTATCCCGACGGATCCAACACCTGGAACTCACCTTACCCAAACCAAAACCCGGGCCTATTAGGCCCACGTCCCATGCCTACACCTCTCCCATATCATGCCCAAGCCTACTACACTACCACCACACCCC